TCATGATATCCTTTTTTAAAAAGAAAGATTATAAACTTAAACAATGATACTGACAAGGCAGGATAGAGCCAGGGACTTTCTGCAGAGGCTTTCTGCAGCAGTCAGTTTTCATGAGAGAACTTTCTGTGACTGGCTTTCCACCGTGCACACCGTGTTGAGGGAACAGGGACAAGTCTTGTTTTATTGTCTTCAAGAGCTATCTTTATTGTAGGGAGCATGCACAACTTTAAAAGTGAAGACTATTCTTTCAAAATACTACAACATGACAGATTTACTTCATGAAGAACAGAGTTAGTCATTTTGTTTTCCTTTTGCTTTAGTGGACCAAAGTTCTGTTAACTCCCTCAGGTGAGAAGCTATAATTTTGTTTAGTATTTGGGACTACAGAAGTCATTCTATGGAAGTATGTTTATGTTTTTCTTATGGAACTGGGAGGAATGGTGACCAGGCCTGGTGACATCTCTCCTGGGAGTAGGTGCCTGGAATGTGATGGCCTTTGTGGAGCTCTCAGCCTTCCACTTGGCTCTCATGGCCAACAACCAGTTTTTACTCTCTGGGGAGTTGTTCTCTTTCCCCACCACTCCAGACCTCTCTTCATGTGGACTCAGAGGGAGAGGCAGCATTGCACAGCTCTCTGAAGCATAAGGACTGCCTTGATGAGGTGCCCTGGAGACACTTGTGGCAGTTCCTTCAATCTTGGTTGGTTTCAAATGACCTAGAGAGTCTTTACTAAGGTCTTCTTAGTTACCAGCAAAGCAGCCCAGTTCCAAGAAAAGTTTTTCAATTTGGTCATCAAGCTCAGTCACACAGTTGCAACCCTTCACACATTTTTGCTTCACACTCCCCAGACAGCTTTAGTTTAGTGGCCTCTTCATTTTATTTCTATACTCAGAGCAAAAGTCTGCTGCGGATGACTTCTGGCTCACAGGAGTTATGGCTTTTCTTGCACACACAATCGCTGTCTCAGAAGCAGGTGCTATGATGAGTGGTAAGTTATTCGGGTGACACAGTTTCTAAGTGACATCTTGAAAGATGAGACTGGCTTCAGAGAGACAGAGGAGACTGTGCCTCTTCTGTGGATGAAAGAGTGAACTATTCCTTGGTGGGAAGAGTTTTAGCAGAGGTGTGGGAATATTTGAAGGACGCAGGAGGTCTCCAGCACAGCTTGGTACACAAGACTTGAACTCACATAAAAGGTAGAGTTCTCATGTTCACTGAAAAGAGCTACTGCAGAGGTTTTTAATCAAGTCATGTTGAACTTGTAGATGTGGCCATCAGTACAGTTAGAAAATAAAGTTGAGTCAGTAGAATCCAAAATCAGACTGGAGTACCCAGGAGGTGCTACCTGGGTACAAGAAAGGCTTGGATGTTCTGGGTTCTTGTCAATAAGTGGTATAATACTTACATAAGCCCCACACCTTGATTATCCCATCCATAGCCGCTCCTGTAACTAATACATTCTCCTCTTGAAAAAGGACCACGGGGCTGGGGAGATAGCTTGGCAGTCTAAGTGCCTGCCTGGCAAGTGCAAGGACCCAAATTTGATCCCTGGCACTACATGCTGGCCCCAGAATCGCAGGTGTGCTGTGCCCATCCCGAAACTGGGTGTGATGGTGAAAGCCTGTAATCCCTGGTGCTGGGGAGGATAGAACAGGAGGATAACTACAAGTACAAACTGCAAAGCAACAACAAATATTAAAAAAAAAAAAAAGAAGGCAGTGGGGACGGGAGGCCACATTAACTTTCTGGTGGAAATCCACAGAAAAGAGTTCTTTTGAATTCTGTTTCTTCTTGAGGTTTGAGTTTGTTGATTTCAGGTGTTGAGAGCCACTGATTTGATTCACTTGCCTATAAAACCCATCTTCGTTGTTGCATCTGGTTCCCAGACCATAATGTTGCTGAACACAGCTTTCTCAGACTTGGAAAAGGCAATGGACTGGAGGCTGCCCTGGTGACTCTCACTTGTTTCAGTCAAGTCACCAGTTTTTACATCCTAAAATTTGGCTGTTTGATTACTCCCTGCTGTAGTAAGTCTATGTTCACCAGGGACCCAGCCAGGTCAAAGACAGCACTTAAATGAGCCCTACTTTCTTTGATCATTTATTTGGTGTAGTCTCAACACATAGCTCAGATTCATCCCCTGGTCTCAGCGTCCCCAGCACTGGGGTTATAGGCATACACCACTGGGCCGTTTCCATGGCCAGCATGCCATCCATGCCCAGGGTTCTGGGGGCTTGCACGGCATGCAGTATCGGGGTCAATCCTGGGTCCTTGTGCTTGCCAGGCAGGCGCTTAGACCGTGAAGCTATCTCCCCAGTCCTAACCCTCCATTCCTTGAAGCACTTCTTTCTATTAGTCTGTGATCTAAGCTAACAAAGCCTTCTTCACTGGCAACTGCTAATGTATGCTTCACACTGAGAGCAGAAGAGAAAGTGCATCTGAAAGGAGGAACTGGGAGTCCTGTTTCCCCAGAAGAAGCGTGATCATCTTGACAGCTGCCCTGACAATCAGTGAGAAGGGACTGTAGGGGGTAATGTGAACCCATTTCTCAGAACACCATGTTGGGACTGATGGAACACCAAATTAAAGAGTATCTGGGCCAAGCATAAAAGCTATGAAAATTCCCTGTAAACTCAGCAGAAATTGATAACTTGAGTTCTCATACCATGACCCGTTTTTGCCTTTAGCTCTTGCCACTCCATTTCATGATATTCCTAAAAAGGATTTTCTTGAAATAAAAAGATTCCAATAGAAATAACTAAGTGTTAAGAAAATAAAAGATAAAAGCATTTTTTAAATAATGTATTTGGTTTATTAAAAAAAACACTCTGAAGCTTGGCCTCGTGGTGATCCTCCTGCTTCCAGCCTCCCCAGGGCTGGGATTAAAAGGTGTGTGCCACTACCTGTGAACTCTGCCTGGCTCAGAGTGGGTGCCAGGGATTGAACAGCAGCCCCTGCACTTGCCTAAGCTTGCCTGAGTAGGTACTTTAGTCCACTGAGTTATCTCACTGGCCCCAACATCTCATATTCTAACTTACAAATAAAGCAAACTCTGTGGGGAAATTCTGATTCTAAACAACTATGTTACTGAAAAAACAGAAAACGTACAGGAATTTGTGGGATTGAGGCCAACATGTGATCAGTTCTGGCACACATAGTGTGAAGAATGAAGAATCAGAACTGAGATAAGTGTCTGTGAATCCGTGACCTCACCTTACTAAACACAATTATCACTCCACCAGTACACTTACAGTGTAGTCTTTGGGGAAGTCAAGTTTCATTCAAAAACCTTTTCTCGCTCACTAATTACAAAAGCCAATTACTTGTTTCTGGTTAGTAATCTTTTATGAAGCAGTAGAGTCTTTAGGAAAGATATCCATTTTCCTGACCCCTTGAATCAAAACAGGTCCCACTAGCAGAGAATAGGAAAGAGAAGTCTGACACGACAAACTGTCAAAAAAAAAGCATTATTGCCTCACAAGATTCTCTTTGAAGAGCAGCTAGGTCAAGTGTACAGAGCTAAAACCAATTCACAATTGACTCATTTTAAAGTTTACTGCAAGGTCTTCTAGTTACTCAACTTCTGGAAGAAACACTAGTGTGAAGTAGTAGTCACATCAACTGCAGAAAGGGAAGGTTAAAATCTAGATGCTTCTATTATAAAACTTAATTTGGAGTGAAGTTCAATCACATGAAATGCAGGAAATCCCAAGAGACGCACTAGAGCAGATCTTTACTGTTGGAGAGAAGTCATCACAAAGGGAGAACAGGTTGTCTCAAAGCTGCACCACCACTGATGGATGAAAGAACCACTGTGACACCTGTCACTCACGTGACATGTGACAACTGGTGGTAAAGAAAACCCAACTCTGTGTGCTCACCGGAAGTAAACTTCCTTTGCCTCTCTTCCTACTGGAGTGTTCCCACCACTATATAATGCAGCTTTCTCTCTGTCAGGGGCAAAGGATTTAGCTGAGTGTTCTATACTCTTATTTGTGCTCAGGCCGTTGACACGATCCCATCCGTTGAAGACTTTCACCTGGTCATCCAAAATCCAGCGTTCTCCCCCTTGTTCCAACATGGAGGCAACACTCATGTCATAAGGAGAGATTTCCTGGCCCTTGGAAGAGAGGTAGCTATCTTCATAGAACAGTGAAATACCTGTGTAGACCACTATGTAATCTCTTTCTCAAGTAAACAGGGCTGGAGTCTGGCAAAGCCACCGCACAACACATGGCAGTCCTTTTAATAGAGGAAATCTCTCCCTTTGACAGAGTGTTGTCTCCGTGTAGACACACTGGCACTCTGCATTTCACATTTTTGTGGACAACAAAATATGCAAATGAGAAACAAAGTCATACATATACCACTGCTACATGATGCTGTACACATCAGATAGTCTACGCTTTAACTAGCCAGCATAAGTCGTGTTTTCAGGCCTGACAAATTCACAGGCATGCAAAGTGTATCCATTTAAAACGGTGTAACCATTAACAAAAGAGAATTCACTGTATTATATAGGCCAGCCTGGTACCAGCCTCAGTACTACTTTGCGGGGGTGGGGCTGACGGACACAGGTGGATCACACATTTAGGTCCAGACTGGGCAAGTTTGTGATACTTCAAGAAACTATCAAAAAAAAAAAAAAAAAAAAATTAACCAAGAATTGGGTAAAAAAAAAAAAGAATTGGGTTGGTTACGTTGGTTAAACGCAGTCCTATGTACTGAGTAAATTCGAAGTCCTTTCTGACCCTATGTCTCCTGCTGCGGGTCTGCCCGCTCTCCCCGGCCCCCGCCCTGGCCCCCTTCTCCTCCTGCCTGTGGCTCTTCCTTCCCCGCCGCGGGAGCTCCCAGCTGCTGCAATACACTTTCCTCTCTCCGCGGAAAGCGCTCCCGGGCGCGCCGCACCGTCCACCCCGCGGGATCGCGCGACGCCGGTCACCGAGGTGCCCGCGGGAAAGCGCACGCGCGGCCGGGCACGGTTCCCAGCTCGTCTACTTTGCAGTCAGCCGGGCAGTGCGGGGCATTTTAAATGCAATCGCCCCAAGTAATTTTAATAGCAAGAGCCCGCGGGCACAGAGGCCGTGCGGCCCCCTTCCAGGAGATCCCAGAGCCGCGCCGCGGCGTGTAACTGCGTCCCCGAGAAGTCCGACTCGGGAGGGCACGACCGACTCCGCGCGACCCCGTCCCCAGAAGCGCAGGCCCCGCCCACGCTGGGCTTCTGGGCTGCGCGCGCAGCTTCCGGCAGACCCGGAAGTGGGTCCGTGGAGGGGAGGGTCGCTGCGCGCGCAGCTTCCGGCAGACCCGGAAGTGGGTCCGTGGAGGGAAGGTCGCAACGCCGCGCGTGAGTTTCCCTCTGTTCTGGTTGTCTGCGCTCTGCTCCGCGGTTCCAGCGTCTCGTGGTCCGGATCCGGGCCTTAGGGACCGCCAATGCCGCGCCCCGCCCCCTTCATCCCGGAAAATTGGACTGCGCTGTGCGAGCCCGGTGGCCCTGCGGGGCGGAGGCGCGGGAGGCGGGTCCTGCCTGGGCCGCGGCGACGGCCGCCTCCCCCTGCCGGGTCCTCTCCGGGCCGGGCGCTGTCCTCCTCCCCGCCAGGGTAGCCGGCCTCTCCCGGCGCCAACCCCCCATACCGGCGACCCCCGCCCTCTTCGCAGTCTCCCAGCTAAGACGGGGGGGTGACCTGGACCTGTCCTGTCATTTCATGGTTCTTGATTCCCAAATGCCACCGAGGGGAAAATAACGTTCCTCCCAAAGAAGCGCCTTCTCCATCTCCTCTCAGGCAGAAATGGGCGAAGGTGTCAGGAGAAATTGACCTACAAAGAGATGGCAAGTAGAGGGATTCCAAAGAGATCTTAAGAATGGAAGGAGCTAAGAAGGTAGCAGGGGAGAAAAATCAAATATATACAAAATGTAGATCCCGATGGAGGTGAGGACCGCCTACAGGAGAGGAGCAGGAAAAGGGAAGAGCTTAAGTTGGAGGAAAAGAGAGGTCATTTGTAACAAAGGTGGACGGCTCTGTGGCGTCCTCTGCTGGTGTCTCCTGACCCTGTCCTGTGAATGTGCTGCCCCATGCTTTAACCTTGAAGCACTTAACAATACCACCGCCTTTATCCCCTCCACCGCGGCCTTTACACCATACCTATATCTCTCTCTACCCTGCAGACCTCTCCCAGCAGCCCTAGAATCCTGTGTCTGTATATCTCCTCAACTCTGCTGGGGCAACAGACAGGTAGCTCTACATTCATAGTCCCCATGTGACTTCCTGAGCCCTGGAAATGGCTTCCTGTACAGCCCACAGAATCTCAGGTAGGGATGACCTTGTCCTCCCTGAGGCTTAGCCAAACACTTGGTGAATATTTTAAATATAGGCTATATTGTATTTGTAGGTATTTTAACTGAAAAATGAAAATCACATTTCTACATTAGCTAGTCGACAGTGTCCATCATTTCCAAATTTTATTTCAAATGTGATTGAGCAGTATTAGGACATCTCAGTCACATTTGCTCTGCTTCAGTTGCAGGTGGCAAACCCCTTCCTTCCCAGGTCTTGGAGACGGCTGTGACCGGTCCTCCTTCCACTGACATCCTAGCTGCACCCTCACTCCCACCACTGGTCCCTTTTACCTGCTCTGCAAGTTTCTTTCTGATCCTTCCCAGTCCAATGCCTGGATCCTAGGGACAAGAAAGCTCCAGAAGGAAAGCAGATCCTGAAGGTGGGAAGTGGGTTTGCTTTGCCCTCCTAGATGTTGCTCAGCATGCCATGGTGTTTTGCAAATAAGTCTTTTTCAAAATTTTATTTTGTTTTGAAGAGTAAAAACAAAAGAACAGAAATCACAAAGATGGAAACAGGATAACATACAACAATATATATGTTACAGGTTTTCAAAACAAGAATAGCTGATTAACAGTGGTTGATATATATTTTTGTCAAATCTGTTGCTCATATTACTGTATATAGTCATGTATGATTGGACATATGATTGAATATTACCACTTGCTTTCAAGAAACCTTAAGTTTTTGTTACTGTCTCTTTGTCTTCTCCTACCTTTTTTTAAAAATATATTTTAAAGACAATATAGTAATAATTCATACAACATTAGAAATGGAACACTATTAGAAGACCAAGATAATAGGCATTCAAGCATGGCTTTTGTATTACACATTTGATGTAGTTGCTTAGATTTAGATATCAGCATACAGAGTAAGTCAAGATGAAAATTCTACGCATGAACTGCTGTTTTGCTATTTTCAAAAAGCTAATGGAAATTCTTAATACATATCACCTCAGCTATTGTATATATACTTACCTGTTTTTCCCCCTTTTTTCCTATATCTCCTCTTAATTGTTTAATCCTTAAGTTCCCTTTCTTTGTGTTTTACTATATCTCTTAAACCTTTCAGGTTTTATTTGTTCCTTTGGGTTCTTACAGTAAGGAGATGATGTGATATTTACACATTGGGGTCTTTTTTTTCCCCACTTATGAGTATAGCCTCTAGTTGCATCCATTTTCCCATGAAAGCTTTTAGTTTGTTTTTCTTTATAGATGAGTGGTACCCTATAGTATAAAAATACCACATCCTTTTCATCCATTCTCAGGTGAAGAACATTTTGGTTGCTTCCAAGATTTGTCTATGACAAAGTATGCTGCTATAAACATGGGTGCACATATGTCACTATGGTATGATGCTTTCAGTTCTTTTGGGAAAATACCAAGAAGGGGAATACCTGCAATGAATGGGATATCCAATCCTAGTTTTTTGAGGAGCCTCCACATTGATTTCCATAGTGGGTGTACTAGTGTACATTCCCACTAGCAGTGGAGAAGGATTCCTTTTCCCCGGCAGCCTCTCCAACATTTGTTACTAGTTGACTTCTTTATGCTAGCCATTCTTTCTGGGGTGAGATGGCATCTCATTGTTATTTTAATTTGCATTTCTGGAATGGCCAGTGATGTTGAGCATTGTTTTTTTATGTATTTATTTGCCTGTTGTATTTCTTTCTCTGAGAAGTATGTATTCATCTTGGATGCCCATTTTTGGATTGGGTCTTTAAATTTTGGGGACCGAATTTTTTGTAGTTCTTTATATATTCTAGATAGAAGATCTTTGTCTGAGTGATTATTAGTTAAGATTTTTTCAAAATTTGTGATTGTCTTTTCACTGTGTTGGTGATTTCTTTTGACATGCAGAAACTACTCAATAAGAGGAAGTCCCAATTGTTGATTCTTTGAAGTATTTCCCATTCAATTTGATTTTTGCTCATGAACTGTTTGTCTACAGCTATATCTTCAAGATTTTCACCTACTTTCGCTTCCAGGAGATTTAGTGTTTCTGTTTTAATGTTTAGATCTTTAATCCATTTTGACTTTAGTTTAGTGCATGGGGATAGACCCAAGTCTAATTTTAGTTTTCAGCATGTGGAGATCCAGTTTTTTCCAGCACCATTTGTTAAAGAGGCTATCCTTCCAGTGCACGTGTTTGACTCTTTTGTCAAAGATAAGATAGCTGAGTGTGTCTGTAGTTGTATCTGCATCTTCTTATCTGTTCCATTGATCCACATGTCTTTTTTTTTTCCAGTACCATGTTGATTTTATCACTGTAGCTTTGTAGTATAATTTCAAGTCAAAGATTTTAATGCCTTCTGCCTTTCTTTCCTTTGTTGCCCAAGACTGTCTTTGCTATTCTAGGTCTTTTCTGTTTCCAAATAAATTTTAGGAATGTTTTCTGTAGATCTGTGAGGTATATTGGTGGTATTTTAATAGGGATTTCATTAATCTGTATAGCAATTTTGGGAGTATGGCCGCTTTCACAATGTTGGTTATCCTATCCAGAAGCAAGGAATATCTTTCCATTTTCTGAAATCCATTTTGATCTCTTTTTCAGAGTACTGTAATTTTCATTGTAAAAATCTTTACTTCCTTTAATTCCTAGGTATTTCATTTTTTTGGATGCTATTGTGAAGTATACTTTTCTCTAATTTCCCTCTCACTGTGTTTGCTATCTGTGTAGTATGATGCTGTTGATTTCTAGGTACTGACTTTAACCTGCTATGCTACTGAATTTGTTTATTAATTGTAGGGGCTTCTTGGTGGAGATTTTCTTGGGTCTTCCAAGTCGTGTATCATGTCATTTGCAAATAATGTTAGTTTAACTTCTTCATCTGTTCTTATTCCCTTTATTTCTCTCTCCTCTCTAATGGATCTAGCTAGTGATTTTAGTACTATATTGAATAGTGGTGATAGAAGACATGTATGTAATGTCTTTGTCATGTAACATAAGAGGCTTCAGTTTTTCCTGATTTAGAATTTTGTTTTTGTTGGTTTTTTTTCCCATAATTTTATTGAGAGACAAATAGCAATGAGACAGTTTCACATCAAATTGGTATGACAGTTTCAATAATTAACACATTGCATACTCTTTTCCTAGTGGTTATTTGCTGTACACGATACAGACAAGAGATCCTATTTACAAACAGTATTAGAACAAATCCCTCTATTCATTAAGAGAATGTAACTATATATCTATCCTAACCACTTTGAATACACAGATACAAAATGGACATTCATCTGTATCCCCTTTTTTGTTTAGTTCCATCCTTTGAATATTATAGATGTGATAACTCAGCAAAATATTCTAAAAGAGTCCAGTAGTCCATAATAGTATTGGGTCTTCTTCTTTACTGGCAGTGTTAGAAATTGTTGACCTGAGTCCCCTACAGCTCAACATAACAGCATGGTTTACCTCTTATACTTCTTTTTTATAGTTTTCTGCTGGATGGTTAGGACCAAGATAAAGCAAGACTTATGCAACAAGAGTTGTAGCTTTTGAATCTGATGAGGTCAGTCAAATAGAATTTTGTTTGCAGTTGGATTGTCATAGACAGCTTTTTAATCAGATTGAGGTACAGGCCATCTATTCCAATTTTCTGTAGAGCTTTGATCATGAATGAGTGTTGGACTTTGTTGAAAGCCTTTTCTGAATCAATTAAGATGATCATGTGGATTTTGGTTTTGGATCTACTGTAATAGTGTACTACATTTATAGATTTGCATATGTGGAATCCTACCTGGTCCTAGTATATAATCTTCTTGATGATTTGAAGTATTCTATTTGCTAGGCATTTATTGAGGATTTTTGCATCTATGTTCATGAGGGAGATTGGCCTGTAGTTCTCTGTTTCGGTTGAATCTTTCTCTGATTTTGGTATCATATTATACTTGCCTCCAAGAATGGTTTTTGGATTATTGCTTGCTTTTCAGTTTCATTGAAGAGTTTGAAGAGTGTTGGGATTAAATCTTCTCTAAATTTGTTGTGGAATTTAGCTATGAATCCCCCAGGACCTGGGCTTTTGTCAGTAAGTTTTTATTACATTTTCAATTTCATTGGCTGGTTTTGGGTTATTCAGAGTTTTTATGTCTTCTTGATTGAGTTTTGGTAATTTGTGCCTGTCTAGAAACTTGTCCATTTCTTCTTTCTTCAATTCTGTGAGAGTAAACATTTTCAGAGTAGATATTGATGATCTGAATTTCCACAGGGTCTGTGGTAATTTTGCCCTTTTCATTCCTTACTACTTGAATTTGAGTTTTTTTTCTTTCCTCTTTTTCTCCTTTTTTTTTTTTTTTTTTGGCAGAACTGGGGATTGAACTCAGGCCCTTGCGCTTGCCAAGGAAGCGCTTATTCCACTGAGCCATCTCCCCAGCTCCTTCTTTCCTCTTTTTGATGAGGTTAACTAGGTGCTTATCAATTTTATTTAATCTTTGAAAGAACCAGCATTTTCGTTTGTTAATTCTTTGTATTGTTTTCTTCATCTCAATTGCATCAGTTTCTGCTCTAATATTTGTAATTTCCTCCCTTGTTTGGGCTTTGAGTTTGGTTTGCTCTTCCTTTTCTAGTTGTCAAAGGTGCAGCATTAGGGAATTTATGTGTTCCCATTCTGCTTTCCTAATGTGTGAGTTTACCACTGTAAATATCCCTCTAAGAACTGCTTTCATTGCATTCCATAAATTCTGATAAGTTTTGCTTGAATTTTCATTGAATTGTACATATTGTTTAATTTCATCTGGAACCCATTGATTGCTGAGGAGGGTGTTGTTTAAGTTCTGTACATTTATAGGGTTTTAGTAGTTTCTTTTGTCATTAATTTCCAGTTTCATTGCACTGTGGTCAGATAATATGCATGGGATAATTTCTGTTCTTGTATATACTTAAGCATGACCTATGGAGTACTATGTATGTGATCCATTCGATTCCATGTGCAGCTGAAAAGAATGTGTATTCAGATGTTGTTGGGTGGAACACTGTATGTGTTCACTAAGTCCTTTTGTTCAAAGTTCTGGTTCCGTTTTTCTGCCTGTTTGGTAATTTTTTGTCTGCTCCACCTATCTTTTTGAGATAAGGGGATGTTAAGGTTCCCTGTTAAGTTGTGGTTTTGTATATTAGATTTTTCATGTCCATTAAAGTTTGTCTTACATAGTTGGGTGCTTCTGTATTTGGTGCATACATATTTATGACTCTGTTCTCTTCCTGTGGTGTTTTTCCTCTAACTGGTATATGGTGGCCATCTTTATTTCCTTTGATCATTCTTGTTTTGAAGTTCAGATTGTCTGCAAACAGGATTGTTACCCCTGCTTTTTTTCTGAGGTCCTGGGTCATATAGTATTGTCTTCTATCCTTTGACTTTCAGCTTATAAATTTCTTTATGAGTTAAGTGTGTTTCTTGTATACAGCATAATGTTGGATTTTGCTTCTTAATCAACTATGCCAGTCTGTTTCTTTTAATTGGTGAATTGAGACCATTTACATTGATGATTACAATTGACTTATGTTTGTCCTGTTATTTTGCTGTTGTTGGTTTCCTAATTTTCTCCTCTGTGTAATTGTTTGCCCTATTTGGTGGATTCTTTCCATTCTCATTCTTGGAATTATCATTTTGATCCCCTTCTAGAATATCTTTTAGTACTCCATGTAGGGTTGGCTTTGTCATCATGAAATTCTTTAGTTCTTTGTTGTGAAAGTATTTCACTTCTCCATTTAACTTGAAAGAGAGTTTTGCAGGGTACATCAGTCTGGGTTGAAATTTTTCTTGTAAGACTTGAAATACTTCTCTGCATGATTTTCTCCACTTGATGGTTTGTGAGGAAAATCAGCCATTATTCTAATAGGTTTTCCTTTAAATGTGATCTGTTTCTTTTCTCTAGTGGCTTTAGTATGCTGGTCTTGTTGAATTTCTGGGATCTTGATTTATGCCTGGGTATGGTTTCAATTGGGTTAATATTTGGAGTTCTGTATGGCTCAACTACTTGAATGTCAGATTGGTTCTCCACCCCATATTTGAGAAGTTGTCTGTCTGTCTGTCTGTCTTTCTTTCTTTCTTTCTTTCTTTCTTTCTTTCTTTCTTTCTTTCTTTTTCTTCTTCTTCTTCTTCTTCTTCTTCTTCTTCTTCTTCTTCTTCTTCTTCTTCCTTCTTCCTTCTTCCTTCTTCCTTCTTCTTTCTTCTTCTTTCTTCTTCTTTCTTCTTCTTTCTTCTTCTTTCTTCTTCTTTCTTCTTTCTTCTTCTTCTTTTTTGTGTATTTTTGGGGGAAGGGTCTATGGATGCTCAGGGTCTGACTACTAGATCAGACTCATAGTGATCCACCTGTTTACAGCCTCCCAAGAACTGGGATTACAGATGTGCATCACCATGCCCAGTCTGAATTGCCATCTCAGCAGGCCCAGGGATCAAACTCCCGGCCCCTGTGCCTGCTTATAGGTGCTTTAATCCACTGAGCTATTTGGCCAGCCCTCTTTATGTTATTTCTGCCCATAATCTTTTCATATCATTTGTGTTGGCTCCTTCTATCTCATTGATGACTATTCTTACATTGTTCATCTTTATATCATCTTGCAGCTGTTGAATTAGTATTTCCTGGATCTTAGATGTTTTTAAGAGATCTTTCCTTACCTTTTCATTAGGTGCAGCAGTGTCTTCAAGATCTGAAAATCTATCTTCACTTTCATTCAGATGGTTTTGCCAACTTTTAATTGAGTTTTTAATCACCTGAATCTCTCTTTGAATCTGCTTCATGCATTCTGTTTCTTTTCTATATTGCTCATTGAAAGTTTCCATCATTTTCTGTTTTCCTCCATTTTTTTTTCAATGTCTTCTTTAGAAATGCTTAGTAATTTTTTTTTTTTTTTTTTTTTTTTGCTTGGGAGATTATTTCTGATCAGCTTTCCTCTGTGCCCTTCTGCAGTTGTTTCTTTACTTTAGATGCTATTATTTTAGAGATGTCAGATGTGTGACTTCCAGTTTCTTCTATGCTAGTATCTCGTGTGTTTGTTGTGGTATGGGTTTGGTCCAGGCTTGGACTATGTCCTGAAGGAGAACTCTCTGCTGCCTTCCACTGCTGGGTATTGGGGCATCACCAGGAGAGGCGCATTCTGAAGGAGTTGAGGAAGTCTCTGGACTTCTTGTAGAAGTTTCATATCACCGTATCTCTTCCTCAGTGTAGTGGGCATGAGTGAACCCATCTTTGTACAGATGGGGCTCTCCTTTGGGTGTCTGTTAGGATGAGATATGTTCAGTTTTAGAGTTGATCAGTATATTTTTGACATTGTGTATTAACTTTTTTTTTTTTTTTTTTTTTTTTGAGACAGGTTCTCATTATGCTGTTGATGATGACCTTGAACTGACTGTGTATTCAGGCTGGTCTTGATGCATTTGCCTCAGGCTCCCACATGCTGACATTACAGGGAGAGACCTCCACCCCTTGCTAGGACTATCTTTTAAAAACTGTTACAGAAGGAAGAAGTGTGGAAGAGGAAAAAAAGGAAAGAAAAGGAGCCCAAAATGGCTGTTATTCAGGTAATAATTTAGTGATCTCATTTCCTTGTTCTGTGTCTCCCTCCTTTGTGAAGTACTGGACACAGGACTGCTGAGTTCCTGTAACCCTGAACCTACACGCTCAAGTGGGCTGCACTCAGCCTTGCTTATCTCCCCTAAGGTTCCACCTCACTGTACCAGTGACAAGAATGGTGAGGAGGTGCCATTGCTCATGATGCTAGGAGGTACCTGTCATTTTTTGTAATAGTTCCAAAAGGTTCATATTTTATGGTTTGAAGTGACCACTGTGTCATTTATCTCTGCTCTGATACTTTCCTTCCTTTTTCTTAGGGTATTTTAGTGTATTTTATTTTTGATTGAGGTGCAGATAGTGGCTTGAGTTTGCCCTTTGTTCTGGACATAAGGCTTACCACTTTAGAATTGTTACTTTTGCTTTTACTTCATTCCATGAGTTTTGGCATATTTGCTTTCATTTTTCCTTTGCTACAGATGATTTCTGAAATCATTTTCTATTTTTTTTACCTTTTTGTTATTTGAAATTTTCATGTATTTGTGGGTTTTGTATCTCCTCAGCTATTAAGTTTTATTCATTTCAACTTAGTAAGTATTCGTTTTAGCTTAATGTATGGTGTAAGAAATAGCTATGTTTTAGAGGTAGTAATTTCTACTGCCATTGGGTACAGGTGTTCGAGGTACATATGTTGTGTAGTATTGTTGAAGCCCCCTGTTTATGCTGTCTGGTTTTTCTGTCCATAAGTTATATGGAGCATGAAGTATCCCCCAAGTATTGTGCCAATTCTGTCAGTGTTTACTTCATATATGGGAAAGGATTAATGTTGGGTTCATGTTTATAATTAGCATATCTCCTGGGGAACTACTCTGTTAATAGTGATATAATGTCCTCCTTTTTCTCACAGTTTGTACTTTAAAGGCTGTGTTTTAAAACAGGAATAAAAAATAGATAAGTTAAAATTAAAATAAATAAATAAAAAATAGAGGAGTTGCCACCCCTGTCCTCTTTGAGTTTCATTTCCTTTTCCATCTTTTCCCTATTTGCTCATGTGAGTCGTTTGAACAAAAGTGAAGCTTGTTTACAGCATGTAGCTGATCCCTTAGTTTCCTTTTGTCCTCTCTTCAGTCATTGTAGTCTTTTTAGTTCAGTTAATTCATTCAAATTGGACATCATTATAGTGGAGAGCTTATGTGATGTACCTGCAGTTTTGTATGCTTTGTTGTTTTTCTGTTCTTCTTTCATTTAAACTTCATGATTTCTCTTTATCGTGTTGTTATTAAATCCTAGTTCCCACAAGAGAGAAAACACCAGGGGCTTCTTGCTCCTCTGTCTTGCTGACATCAGTCCTTCACAACAGTGGCCTAATTTCTTTTCATGGATTGGCAGTGTCTTTTACTTATGCACTCTGGCATATTTGCTAGTGGAAATGTAAGATGTTTCATGCTCGTGTGCACCTGTACATGTGTGTCTAATGAAAACTACCAAGAAAGGAAGATTATTTTCATTGATTTTTTGCTTCCTATATGGAAGTAATATTCTTTTCCTAGGTTGTAGTCATCCTATCTTTTAATTTTTAACAAACTCAGCTCTTTTCTGTCTTCCCTTCCTTCTTACTTTGCATCCTTTTGCTCTTTAATGATTCCCACTCAGAGGTCTTGCACAATTGGATTTCTTTTGTTTGTTTGTCAGAACATGGGATTGAACTCAGGCCCTTACGCTTGCTGGGGAAGTGTTTATTCAACTGAGCTATCTCCCCAGCCCCAGTCTTGCACAATTATGATGGGCTGAAGCCCCACTAAGTCCCCCTCTCTCCTTTACTTGTAGGAAGTGCAGCCAGCATTTACTCCTAATTGTGGTGTTTAGTGAAATGTGTTTGTTAAATATCAGGCTCGCTGGCTTGTTGGTTTTCAAATTACAATTTGGGGCTGCTTTTTACTTTTACAATATAATATACTTCTTTGAAGTTGCAGTTCAGAGTTTGCAACTTGAGTTATTCACAGATTTTTCCTTAGAACCTGACTAGCAAATGTTCCAGAAACCCACAATTTCAGGGAAATTGGAAGTAGCCCCTGAGTATTTTTTTAAATGGGAGATTTACAAGTAGCCAATCCAAGAGAGTTATTCAGTTCTCCTTGCGCTTGATTGGCTTCTGCCCTGTAACCAGTCTCTTGAAGATGCACCCGCATTTGTGTCGTAACAGGCTGCTGTACCACATGTAGCTATCTTGAGTGTTCTGACTTGTTCTTTTTCTTTTTTTAAGATACTTCAACCTAAAAGTTTTATTTAAAATCCCAATTGTATCTTATACACAGTAACTATCAACTGAATTGAAAATGCTCTGTAAAATGTGCTTGCAAAATGTATGCTGTAGTAGTAGAGTACAACTTTCAAATACAAAATTTTATCTGTCAGATTGTTTAAAAGCCTTTAAAAATATGATATGCAGAAGATTGCTGGGAGGGAAAAGTAAGATGGATAATAGGTTACAAAATCTTAATTTCCACAATAGCCTTTTGAAACTGGAAAAGAACAAATAGTTGTTAAGAAAACCAGAATGAACATATTACTAAAAATTCAGTGCATTCACAACTACCTGATGGAAAACCTGAAACATCTTTTCCCTCGCCTTCTTATATCATATATGAAATTATGAATTATATAGGCCTCAGTCTTCAGAAATTTAAGAAAACTTCAAGCTATAAGCCAAAATGTTACCATAAAAGGAAAAACTTGGTATAAAAATTACTACTGTAAGGCCACTGTTTGAAGTTCTCTCATGTACAGACAATACAATTCAGATACTTTTGATTTTATTATACAAGCAAAACTTTGAACATGTAAACTTCTGCATGTAATTTGGTTAAGCTCTATGGATGAAACCATGCTCAGTGATGGCAGGATAGCTCAGCGGGGACAGGGTGTGATTCTCAGCACTACATACATTGCCAACCCCCACCCATCCACCCCAAATCACAAGCCAGCCAACTAGGCAAGGCATGGTGGTGCATGCCTGTAATCCCAGTGCCGGGGAGGCTGAAAATAGGATCACTACGAGTCTGAACAAGCTGCATAGTGAGACCCTGTACCAAATGAATAAAAGAGAGAGAGAAAAAAGAACATGCTCAGAGAAAAATGCATCAAATAATGCCCATCAAGTGAGTCTACTAAAACGTATTGGAAAAGAAATTGCAGTAAATAAAACTTTCAAACTGAATACTATAATTTAAAAGCAATTGTTAAGTGTAAAAACTTGGCAGTATTTTACTACTCAAAAATTCTTTTATTAAGAATGTTGCATAATTAGTGCCTTAGTGCCAGTTCTGAAGACTGACGAAAAGAGATGCTCCCAAGTGTCCTCTTGTGGTGGCATTTTCACTTGCAACAATTCCAGATTAGCTTTCTGTGGCTGTGTTTGTATATTCCTGTTCTTTCTTTGGTGCCCTGTTTCTAAATTTATTAGTGATAAATTCCCTTGGACCAGCAAACTGCAGATGCTGGCATTTAGCCTGAATCCACATGCTCTTTTGTACCAGGTCTGATTTATGTTGGTGCTGAAAACTGCCACTTCTAAAGTAACCCTCAAAAGGTCTTCTACAGGCATGATGGTTTCTTTCAACTCCAAATAATTTTTGAGTAGTATTTTTTTTTCTGCATAGTATAATTAATGTAAGGTTTTTGAATAAATTTTCTAAAATTTGGTTTGATAAAATGTGTAGGTTTCTAGAATCCATCAATGTAAATATTCTTCATCTTCAAAAAACTGGAATGTTGATTGATTCTCTCTGTAGCACAAGTTGGGTGAAAAATATGCTCATCTTCATTCTGTAACCATTCTTTTCTCCTCCTTTCATTATTATGGTGGAGGTCATTTGAATCTGTTACTTTGAGGAGAATCTGATGTGATTCATATATCATAGTTTGTTTATTTTGAAGCTCAGCCAAAGATGTGTCTATTCTTCTGTGAAGTCCTGAATCTGAATTCGATTTACGTTCTTGTACATCTGTGTCATTTATGCCTTGCATTTTTGAGAAACGCTCATGTAGAGTAATGTTAGGTGACTGAAAATAATTTGCTTTAACTTGATGAATGATTGTTACAATTTCCTGAGCAAATTCTCTTGAGGATTTCTTTTCAGTATTCTGAGGTGAATGCAGATGTTCAAACACTGGATGGAATATCTCATTTTTCCTGCCACTAGCAACCAAATCATGTGCCATTTGTCTCTCTGTGGAATAGCTAGAAGCAACCCTCTTCTGAAAAGAGCTCCTTGTGGCAAAGTCTTCTGAGCCTCTTCTAGATGCCTGGTAATATTTTTCAGTTTGTATCCTGTGGTGCCTGAATTTGTCTTCATGCCACTCTCCTTCAAACATAAAGGAATCTGACATTAACCTCTGAGGTGGTTTCCTTCTTCTCTCATTGTAGTTATAAGGAATATACCTCCCTTGCATTTTCTGGGGAGTAGGGCTCCTCTCATGCTGTAGGTAGGATACACCCTCTGAATAGGTGGGCATATACTGCGGTCTACTGTTACCCTTCCCTTTTTTAGGCACATATACTTGGTAAGGCTTATATGTGTAAACACTGTTCGGGGAAGGCGATCTGTGTTCGTAAGACCTATGATAGAAATTTCCATGAGGGAAGATCTTTGGTTTATATTGTCCATGTTTCTCATCTTCCACTCTCCAAGCAATGGGCCTTCTCAGATCCTTTCTATATTCAAAGCCATAATGCCCAGAAGATCTTTCTTTGTAGTATTCAAAAGTGCTAGATATTGGTGATAAAGACCTTTTGCATCTGGAAGGTGGAGATAGTGAACATGCCATCCTTTAACACATGAGCCACTATGCAAGTTTAGTTATACTAGCGTGTCCAGGTCCTTCTATTCATGGGTTTGAATGTCCTCACCACTGCCACTGCCGACCTTCTATCCTTGTCTCTCTCTTGGTGGCTGCCTGCCACAGCAACGAGAACATAACTACCCCAGCCAAGCTGTGAGCCCCGGAACCAGTTCCTTCCGGAACCAATTCCTTCTGGAACCCTCTATTGTTCTTGAAGCCCTAAGATTCCTAAAATGCTGCCAAAGCATCTGAAACCTAAGGTTTTACTCATACAGTATTTTATTAAGTTTAATTGCATAACTGTGGGAGATATAGTAGGATTTAAATGCTAAAAATAGTGACTTAGGCATTTTTCTGATGATATCTGAAATTCATAATTTTTCACAATGTATGAGTGCTCCAGGAATGTAACATCCTCAAATTTCAGGGGTACACTAATTCTTCTCATTACATATTTTTGAAATATGTAATCAATTTCTCTTAATCTATTTAATTATATTAAACAATTTTTGCACTGGGGATTTAACTCAGAGATACAGTGTTCCTTTGGCATGTGTGAAGCCTTGCTTTTGATCCTGGCACCACATACTTTCCAAAATTTCCAATCTTACAGTTTTACTAAGCTAGTAAATCCTGTTTGAGTTTTGGTAATGCATAAATATCTGAATTTAAATGGTTCAATTGTAAATATATTTCGATGTGAATATTTACTAGACATTGAAGTGCAAGTTTCTTCATAGAAGTTTTCCTGTTGTACCATTTTTAAACTTCCTAGTAAATACTAGTGCTTTATAGTCTGAGGTATGTTTCTTTTCATTTTCATTATCCATACATGCTAAAATAAGCACTGGGTATAAGTCCAGTGATAAAAAATAATTACTGAAAAGAATCATTGAGAGAGACTTCTTTTAAATCTGTTGATTTAAAGGGCTGGCCAGATAGCTCAGCAGATTAAAGCACCTGCTTAGGCAGACACAGGGGCCAGTGTTTAATCCTCAGCCTGCTGTGCTGGTCCCGCCCCAGAGCATGCTGAGCCGGCACCTGAGACTGGGTGTGGTGGCACATGTCTATAATGCCAGCACTTGGGAGGCTGAAAACAAGAGGATCACTATGAGTCCTGTGTAGTGAGACCCTGTACTAAAAAAAAAAAAAAATAAATAAAATAAATAAATAAATAAATCTGTTGATTTAAATATAATGTGTGTGCATGACTATGTGAATATGCAATTCCATGCCTTTATCAAGGTCACATAATCATTGTACATAGTTCATTTATTAATTTTTTTTTACAGTGTCAGATTTCAGGCCTAGGTCCTTGAGCATGTTACACAAGCACTGTATCAGTAAGCTACATTCCAGTCCCCAGATTCTTGCTCTCTGCTTGCTTGCTTGCTTGCTTGCTTTTTTTGAGACGAGGTCTTGCTATGTGGTTTAGGCTGGCCTTGAACTCATTGTGTATGTAGCCCAGGGTGGGCTCAAATTCATGGCAGTCCTCCTGCTCCAGCCTCTCAAATGCTGGAATTTGACATGTGTCCCCATGCCTCGCTCCCTCAAGATTTTCTTTTTAAGTGGTAGACAATATATTTTCATAGTTTCTTTTGTCTTAAATTTGTACTACACCATCCTGTTCATCCATTCGTGGCAGTGACAGTATGTGTATATGTGTGTGTGCATGAATAATGATCCTGCATACAGATTCGTAATGCCTTCTGAGGGACTCATTGAAATCTTGACGTACCCTGAGTGTGAACCACAGTGAGACTGAAGAAATGACAGGCAGGAGACACTAGCTGGGTCAGTTGGAGATCCTCTGTCTCCCGAGCCTAGGAGTGAAACTGCCCAAGAAGGCTAGAGCATTTACTTACAGCGTCTAGAGATTGGTATCATTTTTCAGCCTCTCTACCCAGCAGCCAGTTAACAAGCTGCAGTAGCATGTTTACATGCTTTGAGGAGCTCTTACATTCTCAGACTGGTTTTGTTCTGCACATGTAATTACTTCTCAGCCACTCCCAAGTTACCCTGATCTTGGTTCCAGTTTTCATATTTTGGAAACTTAGTATTAATCTATTTTTGATGCTGTATCTATTGCTTAGTAGTTTGACTCTTTAGTTTTTATTCTGATGCCCTGGCCCCTCGTTTCAGATGTGTGCTCTGACAATTTTAGCTTTTTGGCCTGAGGTAGGTGCCATAGTATGTGTGATACAGTTTTCTCCATAGTAACAGGGAAAATATTTCTCTTGTGTGCTGTTATGGTTTGCTGTGAATTATACATATAAAGCAATTAGAATAATAAGTAGTACCAGAAGTGTCCAGAAGTGTTAGCCTGTGCTACTGCTATAATTGTCATGCTTTTATTAGGTCTTTATATTTCTTTAAAGCTATTGTGAACTCTGTTATTTCTCAACACACAACTCTTCCTTCTGACTGCTGTTTAGTGTATTGGCATAATATCTACCATAGATAAAAGTATGTTTCTGCATTGTTATTTGTGTATTTCTTGTATTGCCCACAAAATGGATAATCTATCCTTGAGTTAGAGAGTATTATAATCTCTTATAAAATATAATAAAACACACTTATACAGGTATAACATGTTCTAAACTACCTTACTTTGTATGAATGTATAGTAAAGATAAACTCATTTTCTCCTTGAACACTCACTACACAGAAAGCTGTCATTCTGGATGTGTGAATATTTTTCTCCACACACCAAGCAAGCATTCTCGTGGGGGATGGTCTTTAATTCAGTGTAATTCTGGTACTGTCTATGTAAAATTAGTCTAGACTACACTGTTGTGGGCTCAGACCCACAGAAGTGTCCTCATATTAGATTAAAGTAATGTCTTCTTTGAATCTGAGTGGTTTCTCCATGTTGGAGCAAGGGGCAGAACTCTGAAGTGTGGATAGCCAAGTGTAAGTATCAACCAGGGGCTGCAGCCTGTGGTCCCGCATGATCACCTATACTTGGGGATTCTCATTCCTACAGTTCTATTATTGAGTTCAAATAATTTGCCTCAGCAGCTCGCAAAAACCAAGAAAACACTTAACATTAGCATTTCTTCTAAAGCTTGTTAAAAAGATGAACACCCATGTAGAAAAAGATGTACAGGGCAAGCTGTCATATAAGGAACATGGTGTGTCCATGCCTTCTATGGTTGATTTACATCTAGACATTAACCATCTGACTGCTGCTTTGAACCCCAAACTCTAGAGTTTTTGTAGAGGTTTCATCCCTAGGTGTGATTGGTTATATCATTGGCATTGCTAGTAAATTCAAACCTTAACCTCTTTCCTTCCCTGGAGTTGGGAGTAAGAGGGAGTGTCATAACCATCTAATCCTGCCTAGGTCTTTGTGATAAGCATCTCTTGTCTCAAAACTACCTGGGAATCGCCTGGCATTAGTTACTTCATTAACATTTAAAACCATCTTTGTCATTCCAGACATGCAAAGTGGGATCCATTCTCAGCATGGGTCTAGCTCAGTCACTTCAGTTGAATTGAGCTTTACATTTCCCTTTTCATTCTATGTGGAAATTATAATTCTTGTCCATGTTCCCATGGTGATGTATGTGTTTTATTTTAGGGTCTGTTGACATTCAAGGATGTGGCCATAGAATTCTCCCAAGAGGAATGGACAGACCTGGACCCTGCTCAGAGGACTTTGTACAGGGAGGTGATGTTGGAGAACTATAGGAACCTGGTCTCCTTGGGTGAGGATAACTTCCTTCCAGAAGTCAGATCTACTCTCATTTTTCATTTTCCTTTGTGTCTTCGTGGAATTGCATTGTTTGACTGAGACAGATGTCCAGGTGTCTCTTAAATTTAGTTTCACAATGTAACATCTGGACTTTAATTGTCCTCTTTCTGCAGGTGTTCTCTCACTGTTGTGATAGATATGTCAGTAGTGATTTCTAAGTGGAGATATGCGTGAAGTCTTACAGCAGACTTAAGATATCCACTTCTGTTTTTATCCCTATGCTTTGAATCACTGGCCCTTGGGAGAGAGCTAGATGTCTTCATAGAACAGTGAAATATTTGTATAGGTTACTCTTTAATCTCTTTCTCAAGTTAACAGGGTTGGAATGTAGACAATCCACTGGCACATCACATGCCTATCTTTTTACAACAGGCATCCATCGTTTTGACCTGGGTGTTGTTTCTATGTTGGAGCAAGGGACAGAGCCTTGGAGTGTGGATGGCCGAGTGAAAGTAGCGAGAAACCTGGATGAGTGGGAATCTGTCAGAGATGTGAACACAGGTAAGAGCTCAGCTGGGCAGAGTAGAAGCTGCACCATTAAACAGTGTTTGGAAAACCTTAGTGAGAGAGGTCTGTGGAAAAGAAAGTTACTTCCTGTGAGTTCACAGATAGGGTCTCCTTTACTGTCAGCTTTCATTTGTTGCCTGAGTGACATGGTCATAGTTCTTTCTATCTGCCATTGTTGCTGCTGCTCATAAAGAAAGGCAGACTGTTGGTCATGATGGATGATAGTGTGTTATGGGCTGCTGTGAAGTCTTTGGTTCTCACCTCTGTTGTGTGAGAAGGATCTTTTCCTGTCCCACCTTGACTCTCAGGTTCGATCGATCGATCTATCTACTCTCTCTCTCTCTCTCTCTCTCTCTCTCTCTCTCTCTCTCTCTCTCTCTCCCCCTCCCCTCCCTCTATCTATCTATCTATCTATCTATCTGGTGCAGGACCTTGCTATACAGCTTAGACTTGTAGTGATCCTCCAGTCTCAGCCTCCCCAGTGCTGGGATTACAGGCATGAACCACCATTCCTGGTCTCAATGTGAGGCTGGTGCAGCATGCAGTATTGGGGATCAAATCCTGGTCCTTGCACTTGCCAGGCGAATGCTTAGACTGCCGAGCTGTTTCCCCAGCCCTGACTCTCAGGTTCGTGAGTCCATCTGTTGGTCAGTCCGCTCCATACATTTCAGAGCAGAGTCTCCATCATCCTGATCTCTACACCATGGTCTGTGTCCATGTTTGACCCCATTTCCTGTGTTTGGAAGATCTAGTCAGGAGATGAGGAACCATGGTTGCTTGTCTTTACATGTGTGTGTCCACAAACCACTCTGAGCTGACCCTGCTGTTTCTCTCTGCTATGGTGATTCAGCCATTTCTTGCATTCTGCTTTTAATACTTCTCAGCTATGTATGGTGGGAGTGTGTTAGGTCTTCTGAGATTGTTGTTCTTCAGACCTGAGAAATTGGTCCAGAGACTGGAGCTCTTTTTTTTTTTTTTTTTTTTTGGTGGAACCAGGGGTTGAGCTCAGGCCTATGTGCTTGCAAGGCAAGCACTTATTCTACTGAGTCATCTCTCTGGCCTCCAAGGCACTCTCTTTGATCAGCAGTCCTCTATGGGAAGCACATAAATAGCCTTTTAGGATGGTAGGATGGGGTGTGTGGACAGTACAGTTTTCCATCTCAAGGTTTCCTAAAATCCTTCTGCTCTAATGTATTAATTTTTTTCTCTCTTCCACTGCTTTAAGGTTAAAAAAAAAGTATAGGAAATCCTTGCTCTTCTTGATTTTCCTTTTTTTTAAAAAAACTGTTTCATTATTTTGCCTGCAAAGTTTGTAGTACTTCATGTCGGATCCTGGGAATGAAACCTAGGTTTAACCTATAACAGAACCACATTCCTAACCCTTTTCATTTTTCTTTTTTTTTTTTTTTTTTTTTTTGGCAGAACCGGGGATTGAACTCAGGCCCTCGAGCTTGCCAGGTAAGTGCTTACTCCACTGAGCTATCTCCCCAGCCCTCCCCTTTTCATTTTTATCCTCTGCCTGTGTCTAACTAAATTGTTCAGGCTGGTACTGGACATACAGTCCTCCTCCCTCAACTTCCCAAGTAGCTGACACAGTAAAGGTTACCTTTGACATACAGGTTCCTAGGATCTGACATGTTATCTTTTTATGCTGTGATAATCCACTTTGAGGTTACATGTAGCTTCTTGTGGACTATTCCATGGAGTATGTTTACATAAAAACTCCTGAAGGAGAATTGTTTGTATAGTATATTTGAGTATCATTCTGGTTCTGTCAGGTGTCCCTGTACTGTTCATGAATATGTCTTGTTCTCTCACAATTAAAACATTGAGCATTCGCTTTTTTGTTTTTCTTTGTAAAAGTTAACATAGCTTGAGCTAACATTGAATTAGTATTGTTACTGCTGTTGACCTTTTAAAATTTTAAGAATCTTTTTTTTTTTTTTTTTTTTTTTTAGCTCTGACTACTTGCTTTCAAACTTTATTTGTATTTTTAAAGGCCAGTTATAACACATGGTCATAGCTGTTTGTGAATGAGAAATCTGTCTGTGGACTGTGTCTTATAATCTAACAAAGATTTAAGTATAAAGTTTGTTAGAGCCTTTTATGTACGTAAGAACGACTGAACCAGAGTGCCTTCTTTATGGATAGTAGCCCATGTCTGTTTTATTAACAAACTTATCTGGTTGTATGCTTCAGTGGGATATACCAGTTGTTGTTCTAGGTCTGTGAAAGATCGTGTACCTAACAGCATATCTTTTGTAATATTTGGCCTGTCAGCTGCTCTAGTTATGTCTGTCTGTTTCATAGTGAGCTCTTGTAGTTGTACAATAAAATGAAGATATTGGCCTGGCAATAAACAGGAAAGGGGGAGATGCTTAATGTCTTACAGAGTCATGTGCAGAACTCTCTAAATGGACTCTTAAGAGTCCCATTGTTAAAAACCCTTTTGCCCTGTTATTTATTACACACTGGAAAGCTTGAGTGGGCTTCTCAGCATGTCTCATGACACTTGAGACCTTAGAAACAGCACCGAGCTGTCACAACAGATAAAAGTATCAGTAGCATTTCACTGAGCCTTGTTTCCAGCTGAGTTCTAGTTTTTGAGGACTGTCTCAGAATTGTCTTTCTGTGGCAGTGACCATGTTTGTCACATATAGGCACACTCATCTCCTTTGAGCTATCAATCAGTGACACAGAAAAATCTCTTAGTGTCATGTTTCTCAAGTGCATGAGTTCATACGCATGAGGCTTGGCAGTAAACAGCCCTTTATCCCCCATGGGTACCAGTGTCCATTTTCAGCAACAGTGTCCAGTGTGGTGTGAGTTCAGGCTTAATGCATGGTTTTTGTGCATCTTACTGAGACACCTTATGAAGTGGAGTGATGCTTTAGATTTGAAAGGCTGCCGTCCTTTGCTTAAGACAGTGTTCTTTCACCCTGTGGTACAGAAGAACCTTTTTATGTTTATAATAAGCACCTCCATACTTTTAATACTTATAGTGTTCTTTGTCTTATAGCTGATTGTTGCGAATGATCTACAGGTGTATGTATTTGCAAGAGTTTCTTCTTCACTGCACGAGTGACATATACACAGGTGTAAAATTTTTAAAATGGTCTTATATCCTTTAGTTTTCTTTCGTCTAACTTAGAACATACTGATAAGGTACACTTTTGTGTAATAAATTTGTTTTGAAATTTGGGACATTTGATATCTTGACCATATCATTGTTTGGTTTATTAATTCCTGTCTAGTACATCTTTGGATAGGTATTTCTTTTTTGTTATTTAATACTTTTTCTCTTTGTGGTATGTTCTCTCTTTTTTTTCTTTTTAATGTATTTCGTACAGGGCCTCACTAAGAGCTCAGACTCTGGTGATCCTCCTGTTTCCAGTGCTGGGATTACAGGTGTGTGCCATCATGCCCAGTCTCAGTGGCCAGCTCAGCGTGCCTAGGGGTTCAGCTGGCACAGCATGTGGTGCTACAGATCAAACGCTGGTTCCTGTGCTTGTCTAAGCAGGCACTTAGTCTGCTGAGCTATCTCGCTGACACTGTAGTCATTTTTATAAACTTAACTGTCATGTTTTATTTACATTTCAGTGATTTATCATCTTTTGGAGCAAAGGCTTTGCTCTAATCATTGTTTTCTCCATATAAATTTGTTGTGTCCATTTTATTATACAGTTATTCCCTATTTGTGAACTCAGCTTGTTACAAATTCATGTTTTAACACCAAAATTCAAGAACTTAATGTAAGTTTCCCATAAACATAATGGAAAACCAAATAATTGGTTTTGAGGTTGAAAAATCACACTAAATTCATTTTTCTGGGTCTAACAAATTTTTCAATGATTTTATTGTGGTTCTCACAGTTTTTATGTTACCTTTAATGCTAACTTTTTTTAGAACCATGGCTATAAAATTTTACACAAAGCACAAAGAAAAAGAACAATGATGAATATTTAAGCACTAATAAAACTATCTGTGGTCTGGGTGAAAACAGTGCTTACACTGAAGTGTCACCTCTTTATGTGCCCTGCTAAGAAGCCCCCTGTGACTCACTATTGGCTGGGTTTCTTCACATTGAATTTTTGGTTCAACTATGGAGCAAAGTTATGTGCAAATTGTTCTTAAACTTTGCTGTTTGAGTACTGAACAGTTTTAGCTTAAAGGATTGACAACTGAGGTATCACTGTACTAGATTAATGTTTAAACATCATAGTATTGTATAGTAAACTAAGCCTATATCTGGCACTTAATAGAATTCTCCACTATTGTATCACTTTCATTATTTATTTTAAAGAAATAAAACAATTGTACAAAATTTCAAACCAAGATAGGATAGTAAAAATGGTTAGTGCATTGCTTATTATTGTCTTCAAAGCAGTTGCTGAGATTACAAGGCATGAAAAGCTGATCAAATGATAAAGCACAAAGCTTTCTTTCCAATAACCTAATAGAAATTAGTAGCATAGCTCTCTTGACTATCTTGTATGTATATACTTTTCCTATATATTTAATGTGTATATCATGTGTGTAATATATAAAATATATATACTTTTTAAACTTTTTTTTTCTCCTTTGCCCATCCTGGTTTCTCCTTCCTTTTGAGCAGTTTCTTCCCATTTACCAATGTCTGTTGTACATTTTGGCCTTTACTCTTTTGACTTCTTACATTAGGGAGACAATACAATGCTTATACATATAAGACTAACTCATTTCACATATGAGTATGGTCTCTAGTTGCCTCCATATACCTATAAAAGCCTCAAGTTTTTCTTTAGAGCTGAATAGTACTCCACTGTATAAAAATATTACATCTTCTTTATTCATTTCTTGGTTGATGGACTTTTAGGTTGTTTCCAAGATTTAGTTATGATAAATTGTCCAGCTATAAGCATGGGTACACATATGTCATTGTGGTATGATGTTTTTCGTCCTTTTGTGAAGACAGAAAAAAGAAAAATAACTGGGTCAAATGGAATCTCTAATCC